GAGAGAGAGAGAGAGAGAAAGAGAAAGAGAGAGAAAGAAAGAAAAAATCTTTGCAACTCCCAAGGAGTCCCCTCCCCAAGCCCCTGCTGGGGACACATAATGGGGGCACATAAGGTTGCTGGTATCTGGAGGCACCAACTCATTGCTCTCAGCTTTCTGAGTCTGCCCAAGACTGACCAACTGAATGACCAACCAACCAAACAACCTACCGACCACAATGCTGCTTGAACTAGGGACTTTCCACTAAGGCAAGCTGGCCCCACTCCAGGACTTTGTTTCCAACTCCCCTCCTTTATCTGTTCCAGCCAGCACCCAGCCCCCTCCCCATTCCCTCATACAGTCTTTAACCTCTAAGCAGAGTAGCTTGGTTTCATGGTGTCCCCTTCACCCTTGTTTTATACACTGGTATCTGTGAGGGACTGGCTCTACAACTCCTGTAGGTACTAAAATCGGTGGATGCTGAAGTCCCTGATATGAAATGGCACAGTATTTGCATATAACCCACACACTGTATACTTTATATCATCTTTAGATTACTTATAATACTTAATACAGTGCCTACACATCCCTTCATTCACATGGATTCAATGTAGTACTTGGCACACAGCAAATTTAAGTTTTGCTTCTTGGAACTTTGTGGAATTTTTTTTTCCCCCAAAATATTTTCAACCCAAGGTTGGTTGAATCCATGGATATGGAGGAGGGTTGATTGTATTGCCTTAGGTTGAACTTTTTTTTGGGGGGGGGGGAACCGAGGGGGGTTGCCCGATCTTTTTAATTCTCAATTCCTGTACTTGATTCTAATTCTGTCTACTTTTCATATATTTCATTTTTCATCTCATGGTCTTCTCTGTATTCCTAGTTCCATTTTTATGTTCTTAATGATTATTTCCACTCACTTTTATCTCTGATTTTAGAATCTTAACTCATTTACTTTTAAATTTAATATTTTATTGGCTTCTTAATTATTAATTTCTGCTTTATTTTTCCCTCTTATTGTTCTCGTTTTTCTAGTTTTAGAATTATTCTAAGCTTGCCCCCCTTATTGCCTATGTTTTCTTCTTCCTCTTCTCCTATTAACTTTCCTCCCCAAGCCCACCCTGACTCCCATCCCACAGCAAGAACTGTAGCCACAATGGGGGTAGCACCAAAGAAAGCTGACTCCTGCAGTGGCCTTTTCATCTTCTGGCAGGCTCTCGGCAGACAAGCAAACAAAACAAAGAAAAAACAAATCTCACCCTGGGACACTTGGGAGTCCCACAAATGTACACTCTCCCCAGGGCCACAGTTGTCTCTCTATAGAGAATACATGATTTACTTCAGGGTTTCTCAACCTCAGTATTACTGACATTTGGGGTGGGTTCTTCCTTCTGCATTGTAAAGCTGCCTTCTGCATTGTAGGAGGGTTGGCAGTATCCCTGGCCTCTACCCACTAGATGCCAGTAGCACCCCCTCCCAGTCACGACAGTCAAAAATGTCTCTGGTCACTGCCAAATGTCTTCTGGGGAGCAACCTCCCCAATGAGAACCACCGGTTTACTTGAATAAATACTATTTTCTGGCATCTCTCATCACCCAGCCTTTAAGAAAATCTGTGTTTTAAAACCCATGGCCTCAAGCCTAATACACAGTTATAGAAACCAGAACAATAGCTGCCTGGAGGATGAAATGAGGGATGGTGGGGGCAGTAGACTTACCACAAAGAAGCACAAGGAAACTTTCTGGGGTGAAAGAAACAATCTTTATTGGAGTGTATACATCTGGCATCTCTCATCACCCAGATTTTCTTAAAGGCTGGGTGATGAGTTATACAACGTGTATACATCTGTCAAAACTCAAATTGAACATCTAAGATTATACAATTTAAAATCCATCTATTTCACCATATGGAAATTATACTTTTAAAAAAACCATGGGCACACTCTAATCCATGCCAAGTTTGTGCCAAAATATAGGTAAAAACTTTAGGCCAAGGTCATTCCGATGAAGGAAGCAGTCACATACCTGATTGTGGTAAGGAACTAGGTGGTACAGAGCTGTGGGACAGAAATCCACAGAAGGAGCTTGGTAAAAGGTCCACAGGCAGACAAGACTGACACTGATGTACTCAACATCTAAGGTGGCTCCTCTTGGCTCAAGACTACTCCACCCTGCCCTTCACATTCACCACCTTTCCTTATAACAGTAAAGCGGAAGCTCGCCAGACCAGATGTTATCACAAATGGGAGTCTTGGACACTATGTGCCTGCCAGGTGACTACCATAATTTGTTAGGGATCAGTATTGAGTATTCAGGTCAACCCATTCAAAGTCAGAATTTAAGAAGAGAAAGGCTGTTAAAATAGGCAGAGATCATCCAGGAAAGTATGAGGGCACAAAGAGGAGAAGAAGAAGAGCATCCTTCAATCTTTTGCCTCCCCAAGGAAGAACACTAATCTGGAGGTCTGGTGCCTTGAAGAAAGACAACCAACTTCCAGGGTCTGGGGACATAACCAAAAA